AGGGACGCCACCCTATCGTCCTCGAGTACGCTGACTTGCCCGACACCCTCGTCCTCCACGAGGGACTCAAGGTGAGATTCATGGAGTATTCGACCTGCTTGGTTGGTGGCAAAGTTGGACACTACCACGTTGCAAGTTACTCCCTGCACGAAAATTTAGCCTCTTGCCTAGGACGAATGACAAACACCGAACATTCCCGCCCTCGACATGACTTCTTTTACAATACTCAGATTGTCATCACCAAAAACGTCGACCAGCAGCGTGGGATCGTCAACGCAAGTTGTGGTCTCGTCAGGCGCTGGGAAGACACCGCGGCTTCGTTGGAGGCAGAGATCAACGAGCAGGACGTAGACCATAAACGCCCGGCGTGGGTGGGGGTTGAGCTTACGACCGGCAAGGGGAGGGGGAGCACTGTCAAAATACAGCCCTTCGAGGACAAAAGCGTATGGGTGCCCTACTGCAGGGGGGTAGCGGTCAGCGGCGCATACATCGTTAAACAGTGGCCTTTCATGGTCGCTGCTTGCATGACCGTACACAGAGTGCAAGGGGTAGGTTTTGAAAGGGTTGCCGTGTGGATTCCTTGTAGAGGGTTCTTCGCCCAGGGTCAGGGGTATACCGCCGTGTCCAGGGGGAAAACTCTAGACGGCCTGTTCCTCGTGTTACCAGACGATGTCTTGCAGGACAGAGAGTTAGCAAGAGAGTTCCTCAAGGAGGCGTTCCAACCGCCCATCGATGCCATCAACGCTCTAGCCAACATGCGACAAAAGGCACCGGCCACGGTTACGGTTAACGTGAGGGGTAGGGGAGTTGCGTACGCTACACTGTGGGACGAAAGACGGACATACAACGCCCCAGACGGGTGGGCGGGTGTGTGGCCTGGAGTTGTGCACAACGGTTTAGGTGGGGCAACGCGTGTCGAGGGGGAGTATGCACTTGCTGAGCGGTCGAACAATCAATCATCTTAAGCAATATAGCCAAGCGGCTACGAACGAAGACAAGAGAGGCATACCGGTGTGTGACGAAGCAAGTAAGGAACTCCTCGAGAGGGGGAACATGACGGCGCTGCGCATGAATTGCCTTTGAGTACATGCGAGCAACACGGGACTGTGACCGCACACTTCACCGTGCCCGAACCCCCGTTAAGTGTCTTCGAGCGAAGCGAGTCACACGGCACTGTGACCGCACACTGCACCGTTCCCGAAACCCCGTTAAGTGTCTGCGAGCGAAGCGAGTCACACGGCGCTGTGACCGCACACTGCACCGCGCCCGAAACCCCGTGAAGTGTCTGCGAGCGAAGCGAGTTACGATCCCACTATGTCTTACTCCAAAACAATTACACCAACAACACACCAAACAATGCCATGGATTTTT